GAACGGGCTGGGGGCAGGCAGTCTGGCTGGGGGGGAGGGTGCATAAATGGGCTGGGGTCTTGCGGGGAACGGGACGGTTCAGGAGCACAGTAGAGTGCGGGGTCAGGGCAGGAGGGCACTTCCTTCCACACCCCACGCCTCTCCCAGAATCATATCTTAGTCATGGCCTCCTGCTGCTTCCATTGGCTGGATTCCAGACTACCTGGATTCCGGAGTACCTGGAAGCTATAGGCTACCTGGAAGGCGGCCACGGACCACAGTTTGAGAACCACTGTTCTAGTGAAAATTGAGTTAAAACATGCGTTTTTATTATTGAAGAGTTTGAAGGTTTAATTGTGAACCCCGGGTGCCCTATCCTCAGGATATTTATACTTATCTAAAACTTATCCAATTGTATCCAGGACAGATTTACAGATACCTATGCTAGTTTGTAAAATGTTCTGCTTTCACACAATAATAATATTATAAAATAAAGCAGTGTCTTTATTTTCTTCCCCCAATGATTTTTCCTTGTTTGTCTTATTGCTGCAATGGATTGCTTTAAAATATCACTTAAACTGCATTTGTGTCCCGCATGGATGTGCAAGCTCACTTTCTCAGGGTGTGTTCAACTGTCCCACCCCAACCTGGCTGCCCCAAAACTTCCTTATTACCTTCTCCACTCAGCAAGTGACCCAGCAGTATCTAGCTGCGCCTCCTTCCCCCCATTACCCTTTCAATCATTCCCTAACACTTCCAACAAGCACTTCAAGCTCAAGAAGCCTCCTGCATTTCCTGGATGTGTGACTGTGGACTTGAGCCTGTGAGGTGCTGAATGCTGTCAGCTCCAAAAGATGAAAGACGCAATTGTCTGTAGGTTCAGGTCCCAGATCCCCACCTCATCTGTCTTACCTCCTGACAGACTTGTACATTTGCCTGGTCCTCAGATAACTAGCTAATCTTTGATAGGCAACTTAGGCCCATCGCCCCCACTTTACTGTTGAGTGGTTCTAATTTTTGAAAGTAAGGTAATTTTCTAAGGGTTAACAATGTGGAAGTAATCTCATGCCAGCAAGGTTGTGATAAGCCCTGTGTATATGAATGCAGCACATCCTTTGTAAATAAAAAATATATTATTATTGCAAATACTGCATCAGAAGCATGCCAATAATCTGTACTATTGATTTTCAGGGGCTCGTGTCAATGCCAAGGACAATATGTGGCTGACCCCTCTTCATCGGGCAGTTGCCTCAAGGAGCGAAGTGAGTGAGCTCTGATTACCTCAGCAGTTACATACAAAGAATCATAGAATCATAGAATAATAGGACTGGAAGGGACCTCAAGAGGTCATCGAGTCCAGCCCCCCGCCCTCAAGGCAGGACCAAGCTCCGTCTACACCATCCCTGACAGATGTCTGTCTAACCTGTTCTTAAATATCTCCAGAGAGGGAGATTCCACCACCTCCCTTGGCAATTTATTCCAATATTTGACCACCCTGACAGTTAGGAATTTTTTCCTAATGTCCAATCTAAACCTCCCCTGCTGCACTTTAAGCCCATTACTCCTTGTCCTGTCCTCAGAAACCAAGAGGAACAAATTTTCTCCTTCCTCCTTGTGACACCCTTTTAGATATTTGAAAATATTGACAAAAATTCCATGAGCACAATAAAATACAAATGGTGACCAAAAAAAAGAGAGGGAGAGAAAAGAAAGAATTTTCTGATTGTGAAACAATTTGCATTTCACTAAGGCAATACTAACGAGCTGCGTGGTGTTCTTATTGTTAGCCTGCTGGATGCTTGTGGTTTTCCACCCCTAAGTAGCTGCTTGCTTTCTCTAACATGATGACTAATATAGGTTACGTTCGGCAGACAGCTATTACATAGAATAATCTTGATGTAAGTGGGGTATACTGTGTCGTGGCGCTGGTCTAATCACCTTAAAATGGTCAGACACAGTGGAGTGTGGGATAAGATAAGGGGGTGGAATTGCAATGGGAGGGCATGCATCTAGTGATCTAACAGGTTTACTGTGGAGTTTGATTGGAGTAACTATTTGAAGGCGTCCATAAAGCTTCCTTTTAATTCCTCTGATTCATTTATAAGATGAATGTCCATACTTTTCCATTTGGCGAAAAGAAATTTTTAGCATCCCCCTTTTTCATCTTGAAAGCTGAGGGATAATAATTATCAGAGAGAATAACCCATGACTGAATTTTCAAGAGTACCATCATTCTGTGCTTCCATTTTTGGCCTCTGTGTGTATTTTTATCCTCTTAATATTCAGTTGATATGATACAAGCAACTGCTGTATGAATTGGCTGCTGAGAGGCGCATTTGAGAGACGCGAGCTGGCTGTCCTCCAGAAACAGATGGAATCACCTCTATAACAATCCCAGTGCTTGCCAAGCCTGGAGGCAGGACTCCTTAGCTCATTTCTGAACACAGACATTGCTTAGCTACTGCCCGAGCTTCCTAGTTGCTGGCTTCCAGTGAAGCCTACTGAAAGAAATGGCTAATAAAAAACAAATGCAGGGAAAGGAGAGAAATACAAAAAGCCACATTAAAAATAAAAGTCGGACATAAACCTTCAGGCTACGTCTAAACTGCAAAGATTTTTTGAAAGAGGATATGCAAATTCTTCCTCTAATGGCATTTTTGAAAGAGGATCTTTCGAAAATGAAAGTAAGTCTGGATGCAATTCTTTTGGAAAAAAAACCCTTTTTTGAAAAAAACGCACTTCCTAAAAAAAAAAAAAATTAAAAAAAGGAGGTTTGTGAAGGTGGGTTTTTTTTTTTCGAAAAAGGTGGTGGGTTTTTTTTTCTGGGGAAAAAAAAAACCGTCCCGCTTTTGAAAGTGAGATCAGAAGAAGATATGCAAATTCCTGTGGAATTTCCATATCCTCTTTTGAAAAATCTTTGGAGTTTAGACATGTCCTCCGTAACAGCCACAGTCTTTGTAACCCAGGAATTATAATCTCTATGGTGTAGCTGATTTAGATGGGGGGGTGAATTTTATCTGTTATGACAGTCCTAGCTAAAAATGTCTTACCAGGGCTTTGTGCCTCATTCTTCACCCTTTGCTGCTGAAAGCAAGTGAATACCCTGCACCCCATTGGGCAGGTTTCTTTTCCATGGTTCTGGTAATTCTAGCATCCCGAAAGGAATGATATCACAGGTACAGAATGTGAGGAGGTGATAAAAAAGTGAGCTGTGGCCTGTGTAAACTGGCTAATCTTATTTCAATGTGTATATTTCCTAAAAATGTCATTTTCTTCCTGAGTCCTTTTTTCTTTGCTAATTCTTGTTCATATGCAAGATATTGCTTTACTAACATTTTGAATGACATTTAGTAGTGTAAGATTTTTTTTTAACTGTTATTGGTACTGTGTTTGCAAAAATAAATCACTGCACATGCTACATGACAAATTTCCAATATTAGTACTATAATACTAGATCAATAGTCAAACAGGGGCTTCTTTGGCCAAAAGTTGACTCAAGCCTCATTATGTTTTGTCAAGTATCTGTGGCTTTTAGAAAAGTAGTTCCACTGTTAGAACAATCACGTGCAAGGTGATCTGACGGGTGCCGCACCAGAGAATTTGCCGAACCACGGGAGGTCAACATTGTCTAGCAGCATTACCAACGCTTCCACTGCTTATTGGGCTCTTAGAGGACATTTAGGGGTACATTAGAGCTAAATAACAGCACAGAACACTGAGAGCCAGGACTGATGTCTGTAAATAAACTTTTATGGGACTGTGGAAAACTTGGCCACATCCATGATAAGTGGACATCCGGCTAATTACAATCACATCGGACCATAGATGTTACCAGACCAGAGAGTGCCGAACTAGAGAGGGTTTAACAGGTATTTCATTTTGCTTAAAGGTAGTTGTTAGAGCTGAAGAGAGCTTGCCATAACTTTTTCAATAGAATAATTTTCTGTTGGAAATTTGAAACAAAAATTGGTTGTCAAAATTTTCCACTGTGAGATTATCAAAATATTTAGTTTGTGGAAAAGTAAAAATATTTCATTTTGACCATATCAAAAGGTTGTGTTGATGAGGTTGAAATGGTTTGTTCAGACTTTATTATTTCAACTATTATAACCTGTTCTAAATTTTATAATATAAAGTTTGAATAAAATGTTTCAACCTTATCGAAAATGAAATGTTTCAAGAATATTTCATTTCACAAAAAATGCTGAGATTTCTACATTTCTACCTGACTTATAAATAAATGAAATTTTGAAATCTTGGAATTTCTTCCAGCACCTTAGGAACTTACTCCACGGATGCTCCATCCCTGGAACACCTTTGGAAAAAAATTAATGGGTGCTTAGCACCTCCTGGCAGCCAGTTCCCACAGCTTCTCCTGCTTTCAGTGCATCAGTGCTTGGGGAGGGTGGAACTGGGTGGGAAGAGATGGGTTGAGAGTGGAGCAGAGGTGAGAAGAGGCAGGATGGAGATGGAGTTCATTACCAAGAGCAGGGGGGAACCCCTTGAACCTTCTAACCTCCCTGTTCCTCGCTGTGAGTGGGGGGGCAGCTGTTGCTCTTGGGAGTAGGGGGAAACCACCAGGGCTTCTTGCCCCAGGAAAAGCAAGAAACAGTAGAGGGTCTAGCTTCCTGGCTTTCTTATTTCACTGCTCTCCATAGACTTTGTTGCCCTAACTACACTGACATAACTCCACCTTCACGAGAGGTGTAGCACTTGTGTCAGTGTAGTAGGGCATTTGCATTGTTGGGACGTGGCTGTAGGTGGACACTGATGTAGTTAGGTAGATGTAAGCTGCTTTATGTTAACCTGTGTGGTGTAGAGTAGGCCAGAGAGTAATCAACCACTGGAATAATTTACATAGAGATGGGAAGGATCCTACATCACTTGAAGTCTTTAGATCTGAACTGGGGGAACTATGGGACTGATGCATGAATTGAGTTTGCCTTCCCGGCAGTGTTAACTGGAGCTATGACTCCTGCTTTGCCCCTGGCCCCACTGCCATTCATGCCCAGAAAACTTTATCTCAAGTTAAGTTGTGCCTTAAGCTCGAGCGACTTAGCCTGTCGGAGGTGGGTTGAAGCTTGAATGCTGCTGGTGCTGGAGCAAGCAATGTAGTGGGACGGAGCAGCTTGAGTCACAGCTGACTAGCGGCTAGTTCAGTCATTCTGTGTCGCTTGCGTGCGACTCCATGGAATGGCCACTCTCACTCGAGCCCAGTTAGCGCAAGGGGAGTAACTTGAATGTGTTCACTTGAGTTAATTGTTGCAGTGAGGATGAGCCCACAGTGTGAAATTCAGTGGCCTGTGTTCTGCAGGAGCTCAAAGTAGATCATCAGAATGTTCCCTTCTTGCCTTAAAATTCCTGAGTTGAGGTGCACAGATTTGAAAACTTTGACTTCTATTTTTAATTAATTTGGGGCTCCTTATTCCATGAGCATTGACTGCAGGCCCAGGCCCCATTTTTATAATGTGTAGATTGATTACGCAGCCGCCAGCCTAAAATTCTGTCTTCCTCTCCAAAGAATTTCAGGGCAGCTCAGAGATCTGGAGCATCTGCAAATCTCACTGATGTTGCTGAGAGTGTTCAGTGCTTCTGAAAGCAAGGCCACTTTTACATTAAGCTAGATTTAATAATTGTATCCTAAATATAAAGATAAGTATGTGTGTATAATATGAATATAAAACAAACAAATAATAAGCATGCTGATAAAATGCTTATTCTTTTACGGATGTTAAATATTGGCTAATGGAATAGTCGAGTAACCTCGTGAATTTTTATTGGTTAGTCAACTCTTCTATAGTCCCTGGGAGCAGGGCTGGCAGCCAGTGTGCTCCGGCCTCACTCCTGAGGAGCCCCCTGCCACTCCGTGTTGCTGCCTCTGTATCAGAGCCAGCAGAGCAGGATACCAGGTAGAAGCGGGTCCGTGAGGGGAGCCAGTTTAAAACCCAGCCCCCCTCACGGACCAGCTACCTGTCACCCTGTGCTGCTGCCTCTGATAAAGAGGCAACAGCACGGGGTGGCAGCAGCTCCTGTCTAGGGGGTGTCTTATCTCCCAGACTCGGCATGAGCTGGAAGTGAGCTGGGCTGCCCATCTGGCTCCTAATACACTGTAAATGCAGAGCTGCAACAGGGGTAGGTCTCGGACCCGTTGCAAGCCAGGACTGAGTTGGGCTGCTGGCCAGCCTGCTAAAAAATGTACTGGCAAAGCGGGAGGGCTGGGAATGCGTGTAGTCTGTGGCATTAACCTGTAAGCTTTTGCTTATCCGTTAATCAACTACACTATTACATCCCTTCTTCCTTTGTCTAAAGGAGTGCAATTGTGCGAATAGTGTGCGTGTATGCCTAGAATTGCATATAATACCTAGTTACACTTTGTACAAATCATTGGTCACCCTACCCCGATCCTGATCCTGCATCCTCCCCCCTGGTATGGCCAGACACTCTACTCCTGCCCTGCTTCTGCACCCTGCCTCCCACCCAGACCTCACAACTTCTCCCCCTTCTGCACCTTACCTCCCTCCTAGATTCTGCACCCCCATCCCTACCCCACTCACTAGCAGTCCTGTATCTCACACTGAATCCCTCATTTTTGTCCCTACCCAGACTGTAAGAGGGGCCATAAAATCCAGTAACTCCAGCACACCAGAAAAGTAAATCTGGCCTATGCAAAGCCCTGAACCTCAGTCCTCCCTGTCCCTTCCTCTCACTCGGTGAAGCTGGAGTGCCAGAGGAGTGAAGTGCCTCAGTTGGGTGCCATGTCTGTGATGGCTGGGGGGTTTTGGAGGAGTTGTTTTGCTTCTCATTTGTGTGGTCCCCAACTGATTTTTCTGTGACCCCCTCCGACTCAAAAAGGGTTTCTCACCCCTATCATAAATAAGAAAAACATTAAAACCTTTTGTGTTGGACATAATATTGTACTTTATTTAAAATGAAATTTGGCAAGCTAACATGAGAAAGTTAAAACGCTTAATCTGTTCAATAATTTAAATTAAACCATTCTCCCTAGCTGCAGCTGGTTCAGAAAAAGTGGTTACCGTACCCAGCCTACCCTTGACCCCATCCCTCCCACCAGCACACAGATCCGTGAATAAGTTACATCTCGGCACACCACTTCTGAAAGGTTGCCGACCCCAGTATAAATGATAATGTATAATTATACTTTAACAAAATTATGTATGCATGTTTCATGCTAAAGTGAGTACTCAGGTCCCTTGGATATTTTTTAGAGCTAGATTATCCTTTGCTCAGGGTTATAGCTAAAAGACCTAGTTGCACTACCCTGGAGTAGTCTCTGGGAATTCTGCCTGACCTGCCCTTCTGAGGCCCTGTTCCTCTGCTCTACCACTCCTTATATCATATCCTGGAGGGGGAATAATCTGCCACACTACCCCTCCCAGTGCTCATCATCTCTAGTTCCCTTGCTCATGGTGGGAGATGGGAGTGATGAGCATCTAATCTCCCTCCCTGTCTCTCCTGCTGTGATACAGACTGATCTAATGCAGTCCTGGTGGAGCGTCTCCCACTATCACGCTGCATGGCTGCGTTAAACTCAGCCCAGCTAAGCCGATAGTGTCTGTAACGTTTTTTAAAAGTCTGTTTTATTGTTTTAGAGTTTCAAATGGGAGAAGACAAACCTCTCTGTTCAACTGTGAGATGTTTAAATCTATTGTCTCCTCCCACCTAAGTATAGGTGCTACATATTTCCTTGGTCAAGAGATGTGCAGTGTCTGTAATGGAAAATATGTAGTTTAATTCTGTTGGTATATGCACTTAGTTATCACCCTTAAAAACTAAGCACATGAGTATCAGCCTTACTCTGATGCTTCGTGAACCTAAATAAACGTAAAAAACCAATGAATGGTCTTGTGGCACCTTAGAGACTACCACAAAAATATAGCTAATATAATGAGCTTTTGTGAGAACAACCCACTTTTCCAGATGAATGGAGCAAGGGGTCCAGAGATACAAACAGATCACAGAAAAAGAGAGGATAGAGGAAGGGAAAGGAAAAAAAAAACCCTGTCAATTATAGGGTCTGTGCTAAAATGAGGCTAATAGAGTGGGCTGGAAGTTCCCGACACTTAGCTTTTGATGTCATTTGGGTGTTGAATAAAATGGCCCATTGAATAAATGTCTTTGTTCAGTCCCTGGCTAAATGTGTCAAATTTGCATACAAAGGCCAGTTCCGCAGTCTGTCTCTCTAGCTGATTCCTGAAATTACTTTGTAAGAGGATAGCCGCTTTTAGATCCATTAGTGAGTGCCTGGGCAAGCTGAAATGTTCCCCAACAGGTTTCTGTATATTACCATTTCGAATATCTCATTTGTGTCCATTGATCCTTTGTTGTAGAGATTGTCCAGTTTGGCCAATGTACTTGGCCGAGGGGCATTGCTTGCACTTAATGGCATAGATCACATTAGTGTTTGTGCAGCTGTATGAGCCTCTGATTTGGTGGTGATGTGATGATGTCACTTGTGTAGCTATGTAGAGTTGACACTGGAGTTTATTGCAGGGGTGGGTTCCTAGGTGAGTATGTTTTGAGGTGTGATGCGTAGTTGCTGGACAGAATTTGTTTGTGAATCTGAAATTTTTTACCTGTAGAGTTAACTTGGATTTTTGTTCTGTCCTTTTATGACTGCTATGTATAACAGTTTTGTTTCCACTCTATTGTTGAAAAGAATCCTTCATGTATTTTATAGATGGGTTCATCATACATAGTACTTATCCCCTTTTTATCTCAGATACAATAAATACATTCATTCCCTCAAGCAGAACGTGGCTCTAATGTCTAGTGTTAAAGAGCAGTGACTGTGTCTGATATGGACCCAGTCCTGCAGTTTTTCACACCAAAATAGGAAAGTTTGTGTGGACTAAGAAATGCAAGATTCTGCCCTAAGTTATAACAAATGTACTTGAAAAAAGCTAAATGTATACAATGATGTGTAATGCAAGGGCATTTGAATCAGCGATTTCACTTCCCTCACCTGGAATATGTTTGAAGGACTGACCCTAACTGTCCTTTTCCCTGCCTGTCTGTGAGTTTTATGTGACTACTAGGAACAACCGAGTATATTGCTTTCCCACACTTTACCATGTGATGTTTAGAGAGAGATGTTCCTACATAGACATGCCAAATATGTATTTTAATAGCTTGTTTATAATTGTACTTCCATTGCAGGAAGCAGTACAGGTATTGATTAAGCATTCAGCGGATGTTAATGCTCGGGACAAGAACTGGCAGACCCCGTTGCATGTGGCAGCTGCGAACAAAGCCGTGAAGTGTGCAGAAGTAATCATTCCAATGCTGAGCAGTGTCAACGTCTCTGACAGAGGGGGGCGCACCGCATTACACCATGCTGCTCTCAACGGACACATCGAGGTAAGTGGCCAAGAAGCATTGTTGATATAATTTATGGGTTTCTGGCACTGTTGTCCTTATCAAAATAAAGTATGAGTTTATATATCTTTATATGGCATGGATAGGTAGCTATCTAACCATTGCTTATGAGAGATTTTAGACTGGGATGGGCAATAATTTTCAGTGGGGGGCCACTCCAAGAATTTGGCAAGTTGTCGGGAGCTGAGCTCTTCTACAGTATGAATGGAAGGAGTGCAGGGCGAAGGATGGTGTTTTGAGTACAGGGGGGAGATCTGAGTAGTGGTTTGGGGTGCAGAGGGGTGTGGGTTCTGAGAGGGAGTTGGGATTCTGGAAGGGTTCTGACCTAGGGCAGGAGTGCAGATGGTTCTGGGGCAGAGGGGTGGGGTGATGGAGCAGGTTCCAGGTGCAGGGTCTGGCCAGGAGGCCCTTGTCATAGGCAGCTCCCAGCATATAGTCTCGTGGCACCCTCAGAGAAGCTGCCGCAGCTCCACGTACTACTCGAACCAATCAGCTGCTGGGGCTAGCGCGTGTGTTTTTTCCACATGGCACGCCTCTTGGGAAGAGGGGGGAGCAGCAGGTCTCCATGGTTTCCAGCCAGTGGAAAGCTGTGAGGATGGTTCTGGGGGTGAAGGCAGGACATGGGCACCTCCCTCCTGCCTAGGTGTGTGCACTGCATGCACGCGCATGCACACACACACACACACGGCAGCTAGCCACTTTGAGCATTGTGTGGGACTGTGGCAGTCAGGGTGCCTGCCTAAGAGGGTCCTTCTGGGCTGTGGCAACAAGATCTAAATGCGTGATGGGCTGGTTCCAGCCCGCAGGCCGTATTTTCTCCACCCTAGTTTTAGCTCAGATACACTGGCGATAGCTTAAGATAGCTACAAACACAAAGAAGGGGGTCACGATCAAATAAGTTTGAGAATCCCTGCTCTGCAGTATTCCCTAAAGACATAATTACACCTTTATACATTGAAAGCCACTGTATTAGGAGCCTGTAATTGTATCTGGGAAAATCTGCACACATGCAGAGATCCAAGGACATCGGTTGTGGCCCAGTCAGCACACTGCTGTGGCCCATGTGACATCCTCAGGGCTATATAAGTAGTATTGGATGCAGCCCCCGTAACACATAGAGACCTGCATACGTGGCCTGCAAGGGTAAATAGGTTGAGAACTACTGATATAGGCTTAAGGGCTTGTCTTCACTCACCCTGAGATCGGTGCTCTGGAGATGGATCTCCTGGGGTTCGGTTTAGCAGGTCTAGTAAGGATCTGCTAAATCACCCACTATCTGCACCCCCGTCAGCCCCAGTACTCCACTGGGCCGCGAGGAGCGAGAGAAGAAGATGGGAAAAACTCTCCCCTTGACTTCCTGCAGTGGGGTCACTTTAGAAATTCGACATATGGTACCTCGACTCCAGCTATGCTATTCTCGTAGCTGGAGTTGCATATCTTTGGTCGACTTTCCCCGGTAGTGTAGACCTGGTTTAAGCGTGAAATAAAAATTCTCCTACTGAGACTGATACCATTGATAAATCAATAAATAATTAAATATATTATAATAATAATAATAAAAAGTTGATTTACTGTTTTGTAACTTACAAAAAAGCAGCCTTATGGGTATTTGTTGTAAAAGGAATCTGCAAACTGGCCTTTTAAAAGTTTAATGTTTTAGGAAAGACATAATATTTATCATTTAAACACGATTTCATGATTGACTTGCTTTGATATAATGCCTTTTAATGGCAGAATGTAATACAGGGCACAACTAGTAATAGATTAAATACTTTTAATGAAATCTCTGGTTCATTCCACCACTGAATATTGAATAGCTTAAAGTGTTTATTTTGCTGGATACAGAAAATCGTTGTATGTTTTACATTCAAATTGTTTTGTGTGTTTTTGCTTGTCCCTATGTTAATATTTGGATGATGCTGGGGGGTCTGGAACTTTTTACATTTAGTCATCACAACCGAAGCTTTGTACTTTCTGTTAGCTATTTGCTGGCATATATGAAATGAGTTGGTCTCATTCCAGTTGCCAGTGGGTAAAAGGTGACTTGAAGCAAGCCAACATCATGCTTGTTAGCAGAGGGAATTAGGACTGAGGGCTCGATCCTGCTAGTCTTGGAGCCCAGTCCAGCAAAGGATGTGGCTACTCTACCACATTTTGTTGACAAAACTTATGTTGACACCCAAAAGTCGCCAAAACAAAAATTACCAGAAGGTGTTCACACTTGCTCCCTCTGACAGATAATGCCCATCCTGGGGGCACAATTATCGACAGTATGAGCAATGCACTGTGGATGTGTATCCCAGAGTGTAATGTTGTGGGAAGGCAGAGCTAATCCCTGTGCAATTTGGGATTCCCTCTTGAGTTCTCCCACTACCTCCTCAGCTGCTGGGAGTGGCACCATGAGTAGTTCTGTGAGGCCTCCATGCTGAGGAATGTCAACCCAGCACAGCAGCCTCTCTCCCCTCCCCCCGCAGCGGCAGTCTGTCTGCCACTGTGTTCCTACTGCCGGGTAGAAGAGGAGCAGTCCAATGATTTGCTCTGTTACCCAAATAGAGCTGCCAGATACTTACGAACCTCCTCAGCTGCTGGGAGTGGCACCATGAGTAGTTCTGTGAGGCCTCCATGCTGAGGAATGTCAACCCAGCACAGCAGCCTCTCTCCCCTCCCCCCGCAGCGGCAGTCTGTCTGCCACTGTGTTCCTACTGCCGGGTAGAAGAGGAGCAGTCCAATGATTTGCTCTGTTACCCAAATAGAGCTGCCAGATACTTACGAGAGCCTTTGGGGGGGGGGGGGGGGAGAGCCAGAATCACAACATATCGACACATGCCCAAAGAGCATAAGAAATCCAAACAATAAGCAGAACCGTGGGGGGGTGCTGGGGGAAGCCTGTTCTGTGAACAAAACAAACAGCAGAGTTTACACTGGCTCTTTCTCGACAGTAAAGGGAAGGGAAAAGAAAAAAGTCTCTTGTAGGGGGTAGAATTTTTTTCTTACCAGAAGTGGGTGTTTTCCCTGATAAGTCGCATTGCAGAGTGAACACTCTCACTGTTTTGTCACCAAAAGTGTAGACATATCCTTAGTGTGTAGTTAATGTTAAATACAAGAATAGTTCCATTGAAATTAAAGATTACTTACTAAGACTAAGCAGATATGTAAGTGCTTTCCTAGCTCAAGGCCAGAGTGCCCAGGATCGAGTCCTGAATGAGCCCGAGAAATGAATTATTCTTTCGCCTTTAGACTGTTGTCTCTGTAGCTCAGTATTGGGGAGCATTGGAAGGGGTAGCATGGAAAAGCATGCAGTGCTGCCGCTATGTGGTTTTGCGATTCCAGAGCGCCTCCCTCTGCCATGAATCCAGCGCTTTCCACAATCACTAAATCTACAGCGATTTTAAAAGTGTAAGAATTGAAAGAGTCGCAGTGTAGCACTGCAGTATACAAATGAAAACTGACTCTTATTCGGGCTGTAATCTGCATGTTTTGGGTGGAGACAGAGCAAGCTGTAGAGTTTTAGTGCCTTTAACAAAAAAAGCATACATTTTTAATTATTAGTTTAATTAAACTGCAGTTTCCTGGAAGAGATTTTTAACTGATCTTTACTTTTAAGGCTAAAGTTTTCCTGCATACCTTATGTCTAAATCACACAGAGCCAAGTGTGATTTGCTCAGCAGATTGCAACCATGTATTTCCCTCCATTGCAAGCACTATATCTAGGGTGATAGCATTATTGACAGACTGACTTATTGTAAATGGAAGACTTGTCTGATCCAAAGATTTACTTTCCATTGTTGTTTTAGATGGTGAACTTACTTTTAGCCAAAGGGGCAAACATCAATGCTTTTGACAAAAAGGACAGGAGAGCTATTCATTGGGCAGCATATATGGGTAAGAAGCATGTTTGTTTATGTGTTTTATTATTGAAGTACCAGCACTGTGCTCTACATTGCACAAGGCCCAGTTCCTGCCATGGAAATTGAAAGCTGTAATTATCTTGAGTAAGGCTATGGGCTCACATCATCAGCTGGTATCATTATAGACACAACTCCATTGATTTCAGTGGAACTACATTGATTCATACCAGCTGAGAGTGTAGGTTGAGGTGTTCAACTAACACAACCTGGATATTTTTTTCATGTTCCTGTTTTTATTCTCATATTCTCTCCTGACTTTAATTCTAACCTCAAATATATTTGCCTATGACAAATACATGTTAAAATTGTCCTTGCCACAATTAGCAGTAGTGTAGATTTCGGTAACTATATTAGATAAAATGATGCACAAATGCAGTTATTATGCTTTTTTTCTGAAATTGTTGTTTTTCTTGTTTTTATTTTTTTATTCTGAAGGAGTTGTGGGATACTATGTAGCAGTAAAGTCCTATATCATCATTTCCACTCTTAATTGTCTTCCTTTATCACAAGGCAGGCAAGATCACTTGATTCATGCATTCATATCATTGCCATTGTACATTACATTTGTTTTTTAAATTAAGGATGGACCATATCATCCCATCCATTTTAAAACTAATATTCACTATAGAAGTCAATTGGAGCTCTGCTGTAAAAATGATCGAAGGATAATAATGTTGGCCAGTGCTCTTCATGCCTTTGCACAATTCCACAAACATATCCCCTGCTCTGCAATTCATGGGCCCTCAAACTGTCTGCTTCTTCACTCCTGACCTGTAATATTCACTTCAGTTCTGTTCTTGGTTCCGTCTGGGAAAGAGGTAACAAGTAGTTTCCAAACTGGGGGAAAACGTAGTGTAGTTTTGTGATGCCCACATACCAGTTGAGAAGATGATTTTTGACCTTAGAGTGGCGTTGGAACTTTGCTCTGCAGATGAAAGATTTTCCAGCCTGTACAGAGAGCAGATTGTATGACACAAAAGCAAGGCTGGGACTTGGAAATGTGTAAATATAGGTTGGACCTCCCTGGTCCAGCACCCTCGGGTCCTGAATGAGGGAGTTAGCCAGACCCTGAGAGGTCAGTTCCACCTGACTCTCCCTGATTGGCTCTGCTCCCGGTGCCAGCTGCTGACCCTTGGACTGGCTACTCCTCTCTGACTAGGCTTCTGGCAGGTTTCCAGGCCTGCTGCCATCAGTCATGACTGGGCTGCCACTGGCCCCAGGCTGCCCTATAGCTGCCACTGACTCTGTGGCTACCATCTCTGGCCCTGCTGCCCTGTGGCAGGGCTCCTGGCCACCGGGGTTCTCTGGCTCAGGAACATCTGTGGTCTTGCCGGATCATGGATGTTGCCAGGCCATAGAGTCTCGGTTTTTAGAGGTTCTACCTGTACGTGGGTAGACTCCTTGCATATTTTTGAGGTTAATAATGAAGTTTTTGGGAAAGCCACTCATTATGCTTGTTGACCCTATGACATGATCTAAGCTCACTGGAGCCAATGGAAATCTCACTTTCGGTTTAAAGTGCTCGGGATCAACCCTTTGACTAAGAGTGGCTACTTAGCTCTTAGAGGAAAACTCAGTCTTAACCAGCTAATAGGCACAGTAACAGGGGTTACCAGAGAGGCTAGTTAAGTGTTGTGCACTTATACGCCAGGCAGGAGGTTTCCTTGAGTCAGAGCCATTGCCAGACAGATCACCACAGAAAGAACCTAGCAACTGAATTAATAGATGGCAATGAGAGGATCCTCTTGTGGGAAGTGCTGTCAGGCTGACATGTTGACTTTTTCTTCTATCAAAGGAGGGAGTAGGATGTGAACCAGGTATGAAAGGGTTAAGAAAAGAATGGGGAGCTTATTTACTGCCACACTACTCAAGACAAACTCTCATTTAATCCGGATTCCTGAATGAGAAGTGGCGCTAATATATGCCATGCCTGCTCAGCGCGGCAGTCTGTCCCTATCTACTGCTGGCTTGGCCAGCTAGACCCTGCTACAGTCTTGGCTGACAGGGAGGTGTTCCTTAGTTTGGGCAGCGGAGGCTGATAGTGAAGCATTAAGATCAAGAGGTCTCAGGTTTGATCCCTGCTGCTCATGCCAAGTGATGGCCTGTAGCGTGCTCACACTTGGAGGAGCAGGGTGAAGTAGTTCCACCTGTGTTCACACCAGCAACATAGTCAAGCTCAAGAAATCTCAGAAGCGAGAGGGATGAGCAATACCCAACCGCATTGTTACCTCCAGAGTCAGTTTATCCATGGCTGTTGGAATGAGACACTACTGACTAACTTGGGGTCATAGAGAGCTGGGTGGAATCTAAGAAAGAGGCATTCCATATCCTCAAATGCTGAAGCAGGACCATGAATTTCAAACTGTCCGAGCTACTCTCGGAAGGGAACAGAGTGCCACTCAGATCAGGCATGGCTTACACGGGGATTAAGAACACTTTCTTGCAAAATGCATCTTCTGTGAGAGCATTGATGAAGCATCCGCAAAAGAATAGTGAGTTAGGAAGATAGCAGTAATTTGAGTAAATTACTCTGTAGGAGTGTATGTCACTAATGATTTCCATTCCCCCAATCTTTTAAAGGTCACCTGGAAGTTGTTGCCTTGCTGATTAACCATGGTGCAGAGGTGACTTGTAAGGACAAAAAGGGTTACACTCCACTTCATGCTGCTGCATCCAATGGGCAGATTAATGTAGTGAAACACCTTCTTAATCTAGGTGTAGAGGTAAGTAGCAATTCGTATGTAAAAAAATACTGAGGTTTGAGTCAGTATTTGTAATCTTTTTATATAATCTAATTTGTGCTTTAATCATGGGAAATTCCCTACTCCCAGAACATCTCTTCTCCTGTATATTTGGAGATATTTTGTGGCTAGCCATGCTGCTACACCAGTATTTTGGAACCTTTTTTTTATAAAGTACCCCTTTAAAAAAATTATAAGTACCCCCTGAAAAAAATTATAAGTACCCCCAGTACCTACAGTTTTCAGACACGCAATTTTTTTTCTACCATTGCAACACATTTGTTGAAACAACGTAATCGTAGCTGGGCAGGCAATGAAATTTTTAGGTGTGAAAAGTACAAAAATAATAAAGCACTGTAAAACTTACAACAGAAATTCAGTTTTATCCATATTTCAGTTGTCGATGTACCCCCCAGACTTCTCTGGAGTACCCCTGAGGGTTCTTGTACCACTGATTGAGAAACACTGTGCTACACCATGCTGCCCCCTTGGTTTCATACTTAAAACCCATGTTCTGGCTCCAGAGGCAGTTCTTAAATTCAACAGAGTTGAGCTGCTCCCAGCTTTGTCTTTTTGCAGGGAGTTGGTTATAAAATGTGGGAGGCAGGGTGATTAAGAATAACAAAAGGCTGGGCATTCAAGTAATTGAAAGATCATTAGATCATCATGAAAACATTGCCGGGCATGCTACTTAAAAGTTGGGGGGGGGGAAGAGAGAGGGAAAAAGTAGGAATCAGTGTTGTGCTTCAGGGATCTGAATTTGGACCACTGCTGTTAAGCTTCTCATTAATGTTATTGAAAAAAGGGTGAACAGCTGACTGCAAAGAGTTACAAAGGGATCTCACAAAATTGGGTGATTGGACAACACAAGAGCAGATGGAATTAAGTGTCGATAAGTGCAAAGTAATGCAGATGGGAAAATATAATCCTAACTATAGATAAAAAATGACGGGGTCTAAAATAGCTGTTACCACTCAAGAAAGAGATCTTGGAATCCTTGTGGATAGTTCCCTGAAAACATCTGTTCAATGTGCAATGGCAGTTTAAAACCTAAAAAACTTAACAGAATATTGGGTATCATTAGGACAGGAATAGATACTAATACAAAATACCATATTGCCTCTATATAAAGTCATTGTATGTATGCCTACATCTCCTCATCTTGAATACTGTATGCAGATCTGGTCATCCCATCTAAAAAAAGATGTATTGGACTTGGAAAAGATACAGAAAGGGCAACAGAAATGATGAGAAGTAAGGAACAGTTTCCTTATGAGGAGAGATTAACAAGACTGGGACTTTTCAGCTTGGAAAAGAGCTAACTAAAGGGTGGGGGGATATGTTAGCAGTCTAGAAAATCATGAATGGTGTGGACAATAGAATAAGGAAATGTTATTTATTCCTCCACTAATGTAACACAAGAAACGGACCCAATTAAATGTATAGGCAGCAGATTTCAAACAAACAAAATAGGTGACAGTGGGTGGATCATGATGATTGCCTCTTCTGTTTATTCCTTCTGAAGCACCTGGCATTGGCCACTGTTGGAAGACAGGATACAGGGCTAGAAGGTCTGCCCCAGTATGGACGTTCTGATGTTCTCATATAGAGCTGAAATGTATCTGACCCTTACTGTAACCCACTAGACCCCATCCCTCTTCCAGAGCTGAGATAGAGTTCAGGAGTGTTGACGGGGTCTCTCTCTCTCCACAGAGTTAGTAACAAAGTAAGAATAGACATTAACATTTTAAGGCTAACTAGTGTCTTAAGTAACTTGCCACAAGATGTCAGAATATGTTAGTGTAAGAGCTCAGGGGGTTTAGTATTTATTTAATTCTCTTTCTTTTATATAGGAATTAGATACAGAGCCCTGTCAGCTAATTGCTAAATTGACTGCCAAAAAAGTAGAGTTTTCCAGTACCTTAGCAGCCCCTGGATAGAGATGATGTGTGCATGTGTGAGGGAGGGCAGATGGGGTTGGGTTCTGCCCCCCATTTGGTCCTTGGCTTATACTGAGCATGCACAGTGACACACCTGAAGCCTCTGTCCTCAGTCCACCCCCTCATGCTCTCACTCTCTTCCCCCCACCCATCACAGCATGCATAGGTCGGGGCCCCAGGGCTACCGATACTGGAAGAATTCTTAAAGCATTTCCATTCTCTTGAATATGGAGCCTGTCTCTCACATTGTGCAGCCTTGTAGGCCCAAATGCAGTGTACAGTAGCTTCCAAGAGAGGTAAAATTTGGGTGTGATAATCTGTGTGTCCATTTCCCACCAGACTAAAAATTTCTTGCAGGGACTAGTAATCCCTGAAATTGGAGAATGCACAGCATTTGTGAGTTGGAAGTAGGGATAATGACTCCTCCCTTGCACTGTAGTCTCCTTGACATGATGGAGTGTCACTGTTCACCTTGCTTCATCTAATTTTGTAGAACAGCTAATTTCTAAACAAGCAATCCAGAGAAATGTATATCTAAGATTTTCTCAATGCCTCTATTAGACTGTGGTAATGGTTCCATATTAGAATGCAGTATAAAGAAGTGTGGGGTTTCTTTGTCTCCCTACCCCAAGAGGTTTGATCTTAAGCTTGGCTCTTTCCTCTATAATGAAACCTTGGTAGTTACTTTTGAAAAGAACCTGGATTTATTATTTCTCCTACTTTCCCTCTTGGATGTAACAGCTTTCTAGTTTAGTATTCGCTTCATTGCCATTATCAGTGTGTCCTGCTTGTATGTCTTCAGCTTTCAATTGACGTGAAAAATTGCCACCAGGGCAAAAAGCTGATCATAAAAGCAATGCTCTCAGAGTGAAGCATTACTGGAGTATACCTTTGTCAGTGAAATGTGCTTAGGGACACTGACTGGTGGCAATTCAAGCCTCCAACTAGTCCCACTTGCAGCACTCAGTGTGTTCTGTGACGTAGTGGTGCACAGACTGCAGGGCTCAACCCGCAAGAGGCATCTCCTATGGCTCTTTGCTAGGGTTGCCGGGTGTCCGGTATTCACCCGGACAGTCCGGCATTTTCGGGTCCTGTCCAGTAAAAAAAATCAGAGAATACTGGACACTTAAAATGTCCGGTATTTTCTGAATTTTTCTCCAGCCAGGAGGCAAAAATGCTGGGCACCTGGCAACCCTACAAACACGCAGCACCCGGCATCCTCACCCCTGGTTCCTAACACCCCCAAAGGCCCGACCCCAGCCCCCATGCTCACCTGGTTCCCCAAGGCTGCTGGCAGAAAATGGCTGCCAGCCAAAAGACCTAGGGGAAGCAATGCTTTCCCCTTCGTCTTAGTGCTCAACATCTCCCCTGTTCCTATCCCTGCACTAACTCTTAAAGGGGACATGCTTTTAATGCTGTTTTATTTTAATTTTTTTGCTCAACAACTTTGGTCTGTTTCAACCAACTGGCCCCCTTTTTTCCCTTCAACAGAATTTTTTCCTGTTTTTTTTGGGGAGGGGGAGCAGGGTTCGGTATTTTTGTTTCAACCATCTGGCAACCCTATTTGCAGCACATGATATTAAAATACTCTGAATTGAAGACTGAATTAATTATTAACCAATCAAGGCGCTTCTACATGTTATTAATTCAGTTATGAAGTTGCATATAATATATCTTATGTGCGAATAATATATCTTATGTATATAGTTTAGACTATATATTTGCTATGTCATTCACACTACTGTGGCTCTTTTGGGGTAACATTGATCTCTCATTGAGCTCATGAACCTCTGAAGTCTGAGTATTTCTGGTTAAAAGTCTGTAATATTGTATGTCTGTTTTTGTCTCATTACAGATTGATGAAATGAATGTTTATGGAAATACTGCGTTGCACATTGCTTGTTATAATGGTCAGGATTCTGTAGTTAATGAGTTGATTGACTATGGTGCTAATGTTAATCAGCCAAATAACAGTGGATTTACCCCCTTGCATTTTGCTGCTGCCTCCACTCATGGAGCTTTGTGTCTTGAACTATTAGTGAATAATGGAGCAGATGTAAATATTCAGGTAAAGCTTATCTCTCATTTCATCAGTTTTAGCTACCTACCTATATATCCCCTTTTGATTTAAAATCTCTGCATGCTACAGGAAGTTGAAAGTGAGAATAACCTAGTGCTGCAGTGTTTCTGTAAATTCTTCTTCGGGGTATTGGCTCATGGAGTAACACAGTAGTGCTGAGAGTTTGAATTAAGTTTTCCTCATGGGAAGCTCACAAAGATTTGGTTAATATAATGGCACCCTGAAACTCCAGGCCAATGAGTTTTTGAGGCCTTCTGCTATTACTAAACTAAACTACTCTTCCAGAAGTGCAGTTAAGACCACCACATCCAGTGTCCTGTAGTTATCACAGAAACTCTTTGTTTAGGTATTTTTCACCCCCACTCCCAAATGTGTTTAATACAATTCTGCATGTTCCTCTTGGCTTCTGTTCAGTAGTAAAAATGTCAGAGACAGTCCTAGCATAGTAGGGCCCCAATCCTCGCTGACACTTCTATATGCTGTTGTACCACAAATAATACTTAGTGATAATGATGATCAGGGAAATCTATTTAAATTGCAAAATAGCTTGGACTTGTTTACACTTTCCATGGGCTGCTGAAACTTAGTTCTGTGTAGTTCCTTGCTTTCCCTAAAGCAAAATGGAAGATAAAGAAATATAATAATTATTCATAATGTTAAGAAAGTAAATAACACTCCTCACTTATCCAATACTGTTTTGTACTATATACCCCACATTCATGGAATATCGGAAAATGTATTCACAGCAACCACTGCTTTATTTCCCACTCTCATTGCTGAGAAGGTCTGATTCCTACAGAAAAAGGTATTCTGTATGTATCCTCATGACTTTTGGTTCAGTCCTACTGCTCTTTTAATTTGATGGGAATTTGGTCTTAGAACTGCACGATAGTGTTTGAGAAACTCTGATGGCATTACTTTATACAGTAGGTCATTGCCTTTTGTTTTTGTTAGAGTAAAGATGGCAAAAGTCCACTGCACATGACAGCTGTCCACGGAAGGTTCACACGGTCCCAAACCCTTATTCAGAATGGTAAGTTACGTCTTTCTGCTCATAGATTTTTCTAAGCAACTTACTTGCAGTTTGTTATTCTGATCTAAAATGCTGAGGGACCAAAATTCAAGGTATTTAAGTACTCTACTGAAATCTGACACTTAGCTAGTCTGAGTTTAATAATGCGATCTTGCACAAAGGGTACAATTAATAAGGAAACCCCATTCTCTATCAGCAGACAGTGGTCTGTGTTTTGTGTGTGTTTCCTGACCTGAAAATAAGAACAAAAGCAGCAATCAAATTCTATATCTTTCAGAAGAGGCCACAACTTGCTTCTTAAAACAAGTTTAAAAAAAAGTGTATCAATTTTTCCATTTCCCAGTGTCCTTCATGCCTCTAAATCTCTAAGGATCTCTTTTCCTATTCTCTCCCCTCACTTCTTAAAAATCATATTTCCATTAAACACATAGAATCATAGAATACTAGGACTGGAAGGGACCTCGAGAGGTCATTGAGTCCAGTCCCCTGCCCTCCTGACAGGACCCAGTACTGTCTAGACCATCCCTGATAGACATTTAATGAATCTGCTCTTAAATATCTCTAGAGATGGAGATTCCACAACCTCCCTAGGAAATGTATTCCAGTGTTTAACCACCCTGACAGTTAGGAACTCTTTCCTAATATCCAACCTAAGCCTCCCTTGCTGCAGTTTAAGCCCATTGCTTCTTATTCTATCCTCAGAGGACAGAAAGAACAATTTTTCTCCCTCCTCCTTGTGACACCCTTTTAGATACCTGAAAACAGCTATCATGTCCCCTCTCAATCTTCTCTTTTCCAAACTAAACAAGCCCAGTTCTTTCAGTCTTCCTTCATAGGTCATGTTCTCTAGACCTTTAATCATTCTTGTTGCTTTTCTCTGGACCTTCTCCAATTTCTCCACCTCTTTCTTGAAATGTGGTGCCCAGAACCGGACACAATACTCCAACTGAGGCCTAATCAGCACAGAGTAGAGGGGAAGAATAACTTCTCGTGTCTTGCTCACAACACACCTGTTAATGCATCCTAAAATCATGTTTGCTTTTTTTTGCAACAACGTCACATTGTTGACTCATATTTAGCTTGTGGTCCACTATAACCCCTAGATCTCTTTCTGCCGAACTCCTTCCTAGATAGTCGCTTCCCATTCTGTATGTGTGAAACTGATTGCAATATAAGCATCTCTTTAAATACTCTCTTCCTTAATCAACCGGAGTAGGCATATTTGTGCAATATTAGGCACTCTCCTCCTTGCCTTTTGGAGTAAGTCTGTTACCATACAGCCTTCCTTCCACCCCAGGATACAAAAATGTAATAATTTGTATGTTAGACAACTAGATCTTTATTTGTATGCAATTATTAATCATTTGGCTTCAGATCATGTAATAAAGTACATTTTTTTTCTTGTATGTGCCTATAGTGTGGATGTGAGAATTCAGTTCTTGCTATCTCCCATGTCTTCTAAAAACAGTCCGTGTTCCCCAACTGGTTGTAATATGACCAAGCTTTGCAGGGAGTGTTCTGATAAACATTAGGGGCACAATTTCCAAGAGGCATCAGCCAGCTTCTTAATTTGAGTCTTCAAATTCTGCTCTCTCGGAAATGGGAATCAGCTGCACTAAGTAAAGACCCAATCAAATAGTCCTACATGTGACAGTTTGTCATTCTCTTCTTCCTCTTGGCTATGCCTAGACTACGTCAAAGTTCTGAATGAGGATATGCAAATTCCACGGGATGCGTTTTTTTCAGCAACCTTACCCCCTTTTTCGAAAAACTGCTCTTCCTCAAAAAATGAGAACCAGTCTTCTTTTTTGTGTGTAAAGCACCTAACACATGCTAAGTTGTTCCCCTACAACAAATATAAAAATCCTGTAGTTTGTTCTGTTATTTCTGTTGTTTACCCTTTAAATCATGGTAGCATTCACAGATGTTAACCAGGTGGAAGCGCCATTGTAGAAACATACTAGAAACACAATTTTAACTATACTGTCCTGGCCTTCTCTAGCATTAACAGTCCTTGCTTCAAAAACATTACTGTGTAAAATGCTGCATGAGGGTGAGACATGCAACTTATAGGGAACATGGAGGGAGGAGGAGAATGGAGTGACAGAAATAAAGATAAACTAGCTGTGAGAAATTCTTACTTAGTCTGAAGGAGTGATCACATACACCTCCTGCCTACTCACTATCATGTGGCAGTTCCTTGTGTAATCCTAGTAGAGGTGAGTTGTAAGGAGGGACATGAAGAAGGATAAAGTGGTTGCTTTATGGATTTTGACTGGTAAGAACAGTCTGGGAGAAAGCACAAATGTTCTTGTGGAAATGTGAACAAACAGGCAGTTTGCTAGTGAAGGCGAGAGGTGACCTCGGGATAAGGAAACAGGGCAGATAGGTGGATGTGACTAAATTATGAAGGGCTTTGAAGACTAGAACAAGGCATTTGTGTCTGATGTGGTGGAAGAGGGGTGTAAATTGTGTGTGTGTGTGTGTGTGTGTGTGTGTGTGTGTGTGTGTGTGTGAGAGACACTGTGAGAGATGAACTAGGCAGGAAGTGGGTGGTGCAAGGTGGCAGGCATCAAGGCTAGAGAAGATATACAGCAGTCAAAGCACAAGAGTACCACAACTTGGGCAAGAGTCTTGGCTGTATGAGCAAAGAGTCTGCTCTCATAGACATTATGTAGAAAGAAGTGGCAAAACATGGCCTTCCTGTGAGGCCCAAAAGACACAGCTGAGTCAGAGATGAAGCTGAGATTGAGTTAAAGTGATGGGGAAGAGAGTGGGATATGCCTTCATGATACAGGAAGGCAGGGGGAGGGTCTATAAATGTCATGAATAGCTGCTTCTCCCATTCCGATCATGTAGAGGAGCTGAGAGGACTTCTGAAAATCAGGCCCAGTTAAGTCTCAAATTAGGCATCCAAAAATTGAGGCACCCCAAATCAGTGACAACTCTTAAAAATATTCTCACTGTCAGAAATATATTTGCAAGTGGGTTTAACTGCATGAAATTCGATCTAATCAGACATCATTTGTAACCCCTGGGGCAAAAGTAAAGCTCCTGTGGACCTGTGTTATAAGAATATGATAATGGCTAAAGATGCATGTCAGCTGGCTAGAAAAATATGGAATGCAGCCAGGGATTTAGTTATCCCAAAAGAGTTCCCTTTTCTGTTTATTAAAAGAGCCTTGAAGGTGGAGAGCCATTTGAAAATCAGGGCAGGTAACATCTTTTTAGGATAACAACCTGTAAATTGACAGGTACAACTTTTGCTCTGTCTGTGTATCTGTCTGTCTATCTCTTGGTTTCTGATTAAATGGGTTTCGCCCATGAAAGTTTATGATTCTCTATATTTTTTTGTTAGTCTCTGAGGTGCCACAAGACTACATGTTTTTAAAGTTAGAGACTAACATGGGTACCACGCTGAGACTTTTTAACCTGTAAAGCTATGGAGTATACAACATGATAACGATCGTTCTTGTGATTTAAATCTTCACCAGATATCTGTGGGGGTTTTGCTAGGTGACTTAGTACAGCAGGATATTGACATCAGTTTTGTCACTCTCAGAAAGAACTAGCTTTACTTGTACAATGAGTTTTTATGACAATCACTTACCTGAAAATACCGAAGTATTTAACCCTAGTGTTACAGCTTAATCAAGCTGTTGATGTTTTGATCAGAAGTCTGCATTCACAACCTTGCCCCAAGTACTGTTTGTGTTGAGTATGGATGCTGGTGATATCTGATCACCGTTTTCAAATTATTGTCCTGGTCATGTTAAATCATGGTTTTATTGTGGAGATAGGTAAAGAGGCTTAGGTGAGACTGTAAGCCTGATTTTGTTCAGCAGTGTTCTCTTCCTGCTCTGCTTTTTGTAAGATTTGCAGCTTAGTGATTTTTGTTATTGTTGGGTTCTGTGATTAAGAAATGAAGGTGTATTAATGAAAACATTTTGGAGACTACCAGAGTACATGTTGTAACTCAAATATTTGTCCTAATACTGTCTAATTTAAAATAAATCACATTGTTTAGAGCACCAAGGGTGATGGATTTACTGAGAGTGAGAGAAAACATTGAATATTAGTTCTTAATTGTAATAAATCCTAATTCTTAACATTTACATGGCAGTTTTCATATGTAAACACCAAAGTGCTTTACAGAGATGTGCAGGTGTTGATCATCCTTATTATAGGGTAGTTATCCTTGTTCTGTGATGGGGGAGAGAAGCTCTGGTCTTGGGCCAAGGGGTTCGGAGTGTGGGAGGGGTCGCCCTGAAGGTAGGGGAGTGAGGTGGGTTCTCGAGTAGCCTAGGAGAGAGGGCATGTGCCTGGGAAGCACAGGGTTAGGGGTTTGAGTCCCTTTCCCTCTCCACCCACCCTGGGAGTGGCCAGCCAGCCAACACAGGCAGCCCTAGGGTATGTCTGCACTGTAGAGCTTTTTCAGAAAAACTGCCAGTTTTCCAAAAAAACTTCACTTACATCCACACTGCAATCACATTCTTTTGGAAAAAAAATAGAAAGAACAGAGGGGTTTTTTCCGACATTGGTAAACCTCTTTCTAGGAGGAAGAAGCCTTTTTCCAAAAGAAGACATTCTTTCTCAAGAAGAGGAAAGAGGAAAAAGCACAGGTGTTCTAGTGGCCACTCCATCCATAGTAATCACAGCTTAAATGCGAGATAGCATCCACACTGAATGGACGCTATATTTCAAAAAAGCAGTTTGCTTTTTCAATGCACTTTTGCTGTGTTAGACGTTCTCTTTCAGAAGAAGTTTTTTTTGAAAATCTCTTCTGAAAGAAGCCTGCTGTCTAGGCATGGCCCCAGGGATGGAGCTGGCTCCCACATTAGAAAAGCAGAATAAGGGACATCCTGAAGGTAGGGAAGTGGGGTGGGTCCTTGGGTGGAATGGGGAGATGGCATTTGCCTGGGGAGCACAGGGTGGTGGGTTCAAGCCCCACCCACCTTGGGAGCAGCTAGATAGGCAACACAGGTTGCCCCAGGGATGGA